TGCAGCAGTCCTAACAGACAGAGGTGAGGGGCCTGACCCAAAGCCGGGATTTGCCCAGCTGGGCTCTTGCGGGCATGAGGTGCCAACCCCTCCTACCACTCATGGCTGCGTGCCCTCCGTTTGCAGGGTGATCGTCCTGGACAAAGGAGAGATCCGGGAGTGCGGCGCCCCCTCTGACCTCCTGCAGCAGAGAGGCCTGTTCTACAGCATGGCCAAAGATGCCGGCTTGGTGTAAGCCCGGCGCTGGTGCGTCTGGTTTGACCTGCAAGGCCCACATGCCTTGTCCCAGGATGAGTCAGCAGCCTCTTTGGGAACCCAAGCCTCCCATACACTGAAACCAAAAAAGGAAATAAAACCAAACCCAATAAAACAAAACCACAAAGCAGCCACCCTCTGGTCCGCTGCCTGGAATTGGCTGTGAAGGAACAGGAGGGACACAGAGACGCAGCCCGCCAAAGACACGCACAGCACACCCTTGCCTGTTACCCCCGCAGGACGCACCGGCGTTGCACAACCTGGGAGGGCCTGCTCGTGCTCTTGGTGCTCTGCAGGGAAGTTTGGCAGCCAGACTTCTCAAGAAATTGGTTGCGTAAAACATGCTAGTGACCAAATCCAGCCAACTGCCTCAAATCTCTTTAGCCAAAGTCTGAAATTCCAAGTCTTCGGCCCCGGCTGCTGTCCTGGCACCTCTAACATCTGGGCTCCACCAAGAATGCTTCGTCTCCTTGGGGCTGCTGTTTGGAGGTGAGGGGCCTGGTGAAGATCATCCTCACCCTCAGGCGGTGTCCTGGGGGCCGTGGACGCCCCTCTTACCAACCATCCCGTCGCCTGGGCGCTCAGACACGGAGCCAGCGTCCCAGCACCGCCTGCACCGAGACTTGCTTCACAGGCCAGAGGCAGCCTCATCACCTGCGGGCTTCTCGTTGGCAGGATGGGCTGGGCTTACGGGGGACCTGGACCTGGAACTCCAGGGCTGGGGGATCCTCTCTCAGTACCAGTTTCCCACATTGGCTGCTCACCTCTTCAGCCACGCCGGTCTTTTCTCTGCCTTTCCTCCTGCCTCCTTTTGCCAGTTGCTAGAATGGATTACCTCGAGGCACCTGGAAGGGGTTTGCTCGTGGTTGTGAAGGGTTCAAAGCCAGGAGCACTGGGCACCGCCACGGATGACCCGCGGGTACTGAATCGAGCTCTGTTGAGACTTCTCCTCGTTTTTAGATTTCAGTTCCTCACCCTTGGCCTCCGGCTAGCTGTCAGAAGCGGCAGTGTGGAGAACCGGACGTGTAGTTACTGAGTGTGTTCCAGGACAAGAAAAGAACCCATTCACGAATATCAGTGATTGTTTTTCTTTTTTTTTTTTTAAAGTACTGCTCCTGGGAGAAACACTCTCTCAACTTAATTTCTTGGGCGGAAGTGTTGGGCCGGGAGCAGCTCTCCCAGGGAAAGCCACGGTGGCCAGCATCTGACAGCGGGGCTGCGGGTCCCTGAAGAAGAAGCGAGTGGAGACCTCCAGGGCCCGTCCTTTAGGTCTCGCAACCAGAGACCCCGGGGAGACCCACAAAGCAGAGGGGCCACTGCTGCCCCGAGATTCCCTTGCTGACTTCAAATCCAGAAAAGCATCTTCCTTTAGGTGGAATATATATTTATTTTTTGTAAGTTATACCATTCTTTCACATTAGATAAACCAAGTTTTTCTTGGGAATCGTTTTGTAATGACTTACACTGGAAACGAGAACATTTACAAGCAATTTGCAGTAAAAAAAAAAAATTTTATTTCTTTCTAATAACGATTCCATTTTCTTTGGGGTTTCAGCCATCTCCTCTGGGAGTCAGCGGCTCCCCTCTTGTCTGCTCTCCTTCTTTCCTGTTGGCAAACATGCCATCTCTAGTGGGAGCCCCTGTCGGAAATGGGAGCCTAGAGGTTAAGAGCCGTGTGGGGTAGAGTGGGGAGTCAGCGTGGCCCGGTGGACAGAGCCTGGGCTCTGGGGTCAGACAGACCTGGGCCTGAGTCCTGCCCTTGTCATTTGCTGGCTGTGTGACCCTGGGCAAGTCACCTAGTCTCTGTTGCCTCATCTGTCAAGTGGAGCTGATCACACCTGCACGGAGGGAATGTTGTGAAGATGAACAGTGATGTGTGTGTGGCCCAGGTCAGGTTCTAAGGCAAAAAACACGTGGCCCTTGAAAATCCCTTTGTGTTAATACAGTCAGGATAGGTTGGGCCGTGCTGTAGCCGCAAACTCATGGGAAATGAACACAGGGTTCTATTTCTTGCTCATACACGTCCTGATGAGGGTCAGGCGCCCCTGCAGGGTCACTCCCTTCCAAGCAGCCACTGCGAGAGCCAGGCTGTTCTCGCCTTTTGACCTTGCCTCTCAGGAGCTGGCTTCCAGGTCACCATAGAAGGGAGAGTGTGGACGACGCACACCCACTCATAAGTGTCTCAAATGAAGTAAATGACCATGCAGGTGCGATCAGCTCCATGTGTGGCTTCCCTGGATGTGTGTGTTCCCCGCCAGCCAGGCTGTGCTGGCAGGAGCCACGGCGGGGGGATTAGTGGCCTGGGTGGCATGCAGGCTGGTCCCCACAGCAAGGGTGTGGGCCAGCAGCAGCCTTGTCAGCAGGCTCGTGGGCGCTGGCTCCTGTGGCCCACACTCTGCGCCCTGGCAGACCATCTCCTTCCGTGAAAGTAGGCTTTTGTGACCCTGGAATGATCCCAAGTGAGTTTGCCAAACACGCAGCTGCTGCCGCCTTTGCCTGTGGCCGCTCTGCCGGGCCGTCCGGTGGCTCAGCTCCCGGCAGAGCAACGAGAAGCGCTATGCCGGGTCCCTTTCCAGGCTCCCAAGTTGGAAAGACAACCCCCACGTGATGACTTGGGCTTTGGTGTGAGAGGGCCCCAGGGGCAGATCCCCTCTCTGCCCCTTACTAACTGGGTGACCTCGGCAGGTCATGGCAACTGTCTGAGCCTCCGTTTCCTCATCTGTGAAATGGAGCTCGTAATTGCCAGTAATGGTGGGGCCAGCACTTCGTAGGCGCAACAGGGGAGAGGCAAGAGGTGCAGGCGCCCTACCCCAATCTGAAGTCATCAAAATGTGCTGCTCGCCACATCTCGGCCGAGGGAGGTAGAAGCTGCAATGAAACGTGGATCACTCTGGGCTGGAAACCTGTGTCAGGATGTCCCATTAGGAAGTCCCTGTGACCTGACGAGGCAGAGCAGGCTGTGTCCTGTCAGGCAGCTGGGTGTCCACGGGCGCCTGCTGGCGCACCAGCACGGCCACTGCCCCGGTCTCAGTAGATTATTGGTGGCAATGGGCCGGGTTAGCCCAGTGACTGGACTGGGTGGTTCTGATTCCCTCCGGGACATCTGGCAACATCTAGAGACATTTTTGTCACAACTGGAGGCGGGGGGACTACTGGCATCTAGTGGGTGGAGGCCGGGGATGCTGCTACACATCCTACAGTGCCCAGGGCAACCCCACGTGGCAGAGAATTATCTACCCCACATGTCGGTAGTGACCAGAATAAAAGTCCTGGTGTGTGGACCCTTCTCGCTGCCCACAGAGGCCCTCAGATACACCAGGGATCATCGTGAACGTTTATTGGGCACGTTTCCGTGTATTAGCTTCCTCTATCCCTGCAGCAATGCCATGAGTCAGTGAGGAGCCTGGGTTGCCTCATTGCTCACTCTGCACTACAGGTAGCTGTGTCTGGGGAACCTCGGCTTTGGCTACTTGAGAATCGAGCCCCCTTTCCTGGTGCCTGAAGGCAGTCGTAAGAGCCCTGCACTAAGATTCCGACTGACCACTGTCAGAAACAGGCCTGAGCACATGCGTGCGCTGTGCACCGCCCTTCAGGAAGGCAGGGGCTGCCCGTCACCACCCTGACCTCTGACCCCAGCAGCATTTCCCACACAGCCCCCTCGGGGGAGGAAGTATGAACAGAAATGCCCGGGATGTTCTGACTGCTTCTGGGGCTCCCCCAAGAAGCTGGAATTTGGTCTGTAACAAACAGATGTATGACATGTGCCAGGTCCAGAGCGATTCCCCTCAGGACTTCTCCTGAGGAAGTCCCGGCCCCTCCCCTCTGGCCTTCGGAGCTGAACTGCGTGCCCGTGTGTCCTCATGCTTGTGCCCGGAGGGCCCCATCGTGGTGTGGGTCGTGGCTCCTGTGTCCAATTCAGACAAGATGCTTCTTGGAGCCCGTGTACAAGGGTGGGAGGAGCAGCAGGAGCCATGGCGTTCAGTCCTGGTGCATGTTGGGATCATACGGGGAGCTTTAAAAATATACCGTGTGCCCGAATGGAGAGCATGTTGGGGGTCGCGGGGGCAGGAGGGAAGGGTGTGGTCACAGAACGGCAGCCCCAGGGGTCGTCGTGGTGATGGAAGTGGTGGTGGATGCCACCTATACGTGTGATACAATTGTGTAGAAGTCACACACACGCATGCACACGCACACATACTAGTACAGGGAAATCTGAGCAGGATCTGTGTATGGTACCAATGTCAATATCCTGGTTGTGATACCACGCTTGCGTTTTTCAAGGTGTTACTTTTGGGGGAAATGGAAAAGGGTGCACAGGCATTCTGTGGATTATTTCTTAAAACTGCTGGTCAATCTACACTCGTCTCAAAATAAAAGGGTTAATTTGGGAAAGTACACACACCATTGCCCTGCCACAGGGTTAATGACTTCATTGGTCTGTGGTGGAGCCTGGGTGTGGGCAGGTCTTGAGGTTCCCACATGGGTCCAATGGGCAGCCAGGGCTGAGAGCCACTGTCTACTTTGGGTCCAGGATGGACAAGGCTGGACGGGCTCTGGTCAGGCCGACCTTGGGGGTTGCTGCATCCTCTTGGGTCTGCGATGATCGTCCACTTTCCCTGCCATTTGCCACCCAATCCCGGAGAGCAGAGGGGTCTAGACTCTGCTGATGACCCCAGGTCACTGGTATCTCCAGGGCATGGCACATCTTTCCAGGTTGGCGTGGCGGGAGGGTCGAGGGGTCTGGTTCAGACCAGGCCTGACTCCTGTGCCAGCCTATAGAACAGGCCCTTCCGGGCCAGCAGCTGAGCAGGGCTGCCGCTCTCTGCCACCTGCCCTTTGTCCATGACCAGCACCCTGCAGGGGAGAGGGAGATAGGCAGCTCCTTGGACACCAGCCTGGTCCCTGGGCCGCTCGGAGAGCCCAGCGTGCCTGCTCTGAGGTTTGCTCCCCAGAAGTCTGGCCTTCTGTGTGGTTTCCTGGTTGTAAGCATCTACTGGGCATATGGCCTTGGGCTCATCTCTTCCCCTTTGGGCATCAGTCTTCCCACCTGTACAATGGGCACCTGATAATCCATTCCATTACCTTTCCAGCTCTAAATGCGGATGCCTTCCTTCACCACTGCAGGGTCCCTGGGGCCAGTGCCTTGGGGGGACTTACCTGGCACAGTCCATCACGGAGCGCAGGCGGTGGGCGATGAGCAGCACCGTGCAGTGGGCAAACCAGCTCTCAAGGGCGGCCTGCATCTGCAGCTCAGTCCCCGGGTCCACGGCGGCCGTGGCCTCGTCCAGGATGAGGATCTGGGTTTTCCGGAGAAGGGCACGTGCCAGACACAGCAGCTGCTTCTGGCCCAGGCTAGGAGGGAGTGGGACAGTCAGGCCAGATGTTTGTGTGTCTGCACGTCAGAGTTTGTAGGGCGTGCCCACAAATGCGTCTCCACAACAGCCACAGAAGTGGTGGCCCCCAGCCCACAGAGCTGGTAGAAACCCCCATCCTGCCATTTTTTGATCAGGTGACTTCAGGCAAGTCATTCGAACCCGCCGTGCCTCAGTTTCCCTGGGAGGACGGGGAAATAGGGAATTGTTTAAAGAATTTTTGAGTTTCAGTTTTGCAAGATGAAAAAGTTCTGGAGTTGGGTAGCACAGTGATGTAAATGTGCTCAATGCTACTGAAGTATACACTTAAAAATGGGTAAGATGGTCAATTTTATGGTGTATTTTTTACTACATTTTAAAAAATGTTTTCAAAGGCATACTTGGTACCCTCAGTGGGCATGGGTCCAGCACCCAATATCACACACGTTATTTCTACAGCAAAATAGGTGCTGGGTAGGATAAACGCTAAACATAGTCTCGTATCAGTAGAGGTTGGGTTTTGCCACTAACTAAATTGGGAAACCGAATTTAGGAAAAAGAGACGTGATATTCAGAGATGGTGTTGGAGTTTGGAACTGCTGACAAGGGACGGGGCTCCTACCGTGATTATTAATAGGATGGGGTTGATGATCTATGGGGAAGGCACACTTCCAGGGCAGACTGCCCCTGGGGAGAGCCGTGGCCACATGTGCCTCTCCCTCCAGCTCCCCTGAGGTCCAGGCTGTGGTGGGGCAACCCTACCTGAGGTCATCGCCTTGGTCGGCACACTCGTACTGCAGTTGGCCGGGCAGGCTGGCCACCAGGGCTCGGAGCTGCACCGTCTCCAGGGCCTGCCAGATGGCTTCATCCGTGTGCTCCTGTAGCATGTCAAGGTTCCTCCTCAGAGAGCCGGGGAACAGGATGGGGTCCTGGCCAGGACGGGCAATGGGTCAGGGCTGGCCCAGCCACGATCCCACCTCTGCCCACCCTGTCCTGAGGCCTCACCTGGAGGATGATGGTGATCCTAGACCGAAGCGTGTGCAGCCCCACATGGCTGATGGGGACCCCGTCAATCCAGACCTCACCCTCAGCTGCCTCCAGGAGCCGCAGCAGGCCCCCGGCCAGGGTGGACTTCCCGGCCCCCGTCCTGCCAACGATGCCCACCTGCCAGGGGATGAGAGGGCAAGGCCACTGTGACTAGGCCGGGCCAGAAGAAGGCGGGCACAGCCTAGGTTTCCTGGGCATCTCTTTGGGAGATGTTTCCCCTGCACCCAGATC